ATCTCCAGGATATTTAAAAAGTCATGTGCCAAACCTTTGTAATGGTGATAGGTGGCCCTGAGGAAGAAGATTAAAGGGCACTGTTTGGAGGAGGGAAGGCGAGTGTGGGCAGGGCCAGAAACACACCATCTTACTGACCTTTGCCATCATTCTGAGTTTGAAGGGAATCCTCTGGAGGGAATCCTTTTTGTGTTTTCTATCAAATTTGCCTTTTAAAATATCACTCCAGAAGACTGGATTTTGTGTGTGTTGGTGTGGTGTGAGGGTGTCTGTTTTGATAAAGAGACCTTTTCCCCCAGCATTGATTTGGGTGAGAGCCTGAGTAGATGGGTGGTGGGGAAATGGGAATAGCACAAACAGACAGCTTGGAAAAAGTCTGTTGTTCAGGGAGAAAACAGCACTGAACCCATTTCTCACTCTAGCTTTCCTCTCCAGGCTCTGGAAACCTCTTGTGTTATCTTACGCTCACTTTCTCACCCCCAGAGCAACCCAGATCCCAGGATCATCCATTTCCACTGGGTGTCAGTGAGCTTTCTGCCTGAATTGTTTATTCACTGGGTCAGAATCCACCTTCTCTTCTGTATTCCAAATATTTGCCTTCCCCTAATTGTTTTATTTGGTTAGTGGCGCTGCCACTTCTGACTCCTCCCACTTTTGTAACTCCCACCCCACCCCTGCCTGCCCTAAAAATTGTCCAAAGTTTGGGACTATCCAGAGACTCTGGAGTCTTAGTGATTCAGCTTATTTATTGTCTCTTGGATTTCTTCTGTTCCTTCACTTCTCACTGTTACTGCCTCATCATCTTTTGACTGGTCTGTATCTGCCTCTCAGTGCTTCAGTTAAAAACTGGGGATTACATTACCTACCATGAAAATTTGCTAGGAGCAGCAGTTTATTTATTTTTATTTAATTTTTTAAAAACTTACTAACTTGAGAGAGAGAGAGGTAGGGCGGGAGGGAGAAACATTGATTTGCTGTTCCACTTACTTGTGTACTCATTGGTTGATTGTTGTGTGTGCCCTGACCAGTGATTGAACCTGCAACCTTGGTGTATCGAGATGATGCTCTAACCAACTGAGCTCCCAGCCTGGCTTATTTATTTTTAAAATAATCGTCACTTATTAATTTGAGGTGGGGGGGAGGGAGGAAGGGAAGTAGGGGGAGAGAGAGAAACTGGTTTGCTGTTCCACTTACTCATGCATTCATTGTTTGATTCTTTTATGTGCTCTAATTGGGAATGAAACCCACAACCTTGGCATATCTGATGATGCTCCAACCAGCTGAGCAACCTGGTTAGGGTAGGAGCAGTAGTTTAAATGGTATATGTAGAACATGTATAATAGTGCTTTGATATCAGTGGATGTTCTGGACTTCTGTTTCCTGCCCACTAATTTATCTTTCCGCCTCTAATTTTTATTCATACCCTTTTGTTTTTGTCCGGCTACTAGGGTTGTCTTCTCTAAATATGTTCTCTAAGCACTTTCTATTCTTCTCCATTCCCTACAGTGTGGCCAAACCTCCTTAACATCTCAGTCCAAGCCCCAAATCTAGTCCCATTGTTCACAATCTTATCCTTTACACCTTCACCATCACAGGCCTTTCTTCATTCTTATGTCCTAACAGCATTAGATAACTAGGTGTTGTCTAAAAGCCCTACTTTGACTTTACTTTTGTGATTTTTTGATTCAGATTGCCCCTTTCTCCTTTCTCCCTATCCTCTTGATTGTTTAAAACAATAAGCCAAAATTTTATAATATAGTTGGTATATTTCATATGTATTTTTATATATGAATATATGTATCGATGTATGAGTATGTAGATGCATGTATCTCACAAGCTGTTTATCATTACAAGGGATAGCGTAAAGTTGGCTCTTTCATCTGTTACACATATTATCTTGGGGAATAATTTAGACTTTAAACTTGTGTGTTTACATCTGTGTAATAAAGTGGGGTTTTCATGGATGGTCTTTGTTTCTGTATTTTGTCAAGGCCTGGGCCTGAACTTAATTATAACCCAGGTAGAGCAATTATATGAGAAGAGCTGACAACTTACCCAGATACTTTGCTTTCTAATAGAATTTAAAAGACTTAGATGAATGGCCAGTTAGCAGGAAAAGGGAAAAAAAAAAGAATTAACATTTGGTGAAAGATAAGTTCTTTATGTGTGTTATGTCATTTACTGGTAATCATCTGAAACCTCGAAGAGGTAAGTAGGTATTTAACGTGAGAAAATTGAGGACTAGAAAGATTAAGATATTTTCCCAAGATATAAAGCTTGTTAGACTCTCTTAACTATTAAGCTCTCCCACAAACAGTGAAGGCTGAGTAACAGCGAGTGCTTTTGTCAGTTGTGGTTTCTTTTCTGAACACTGATTATTGTCTAGTCTGTAGGCTACTTACTCCTGACAGTTTGAAAAAACATTTTGGTTCAGTGAATGTGTTTGTCCTGGGGTTTGTGTCCTTTCCCTTTCTCTCCTGGATATTTTTATTTAAGCACTATTAAAGTCATAAAAATAATATTTGGCTTTCTGTTATTGTGCTTATTCTCTTAGGGTTATAAAATGTATTAAGTGTATGCATTATATTTAAACTAGATGGAAAAGAAATACTTGTTTAGTACAGCAGGAAAGAAATGAAGTTCATAGCAGATGAATGCATATTTTTAATATCACTTTTATGTGTTTGGAGTCCTATATACATAATTCAAAATCAAAGATTTCAGTACCTTGTGTTAAGTGGTAGTGGTGGTAGCAGTAATAACAGCTAACATTCGTTGAGCTGTGATGATGTGCATACACATGTGTTAGATTTGTTATGTACATGTTTCTAAGTATTTTACTTGTATTAGCTATATATATGTGCGTGTGTGTATATATATGGTCTGGCATAAATAATGCCTCTTTTTTATTATAAAATTTTTTATTATAAGATCATAAGCATGTATTTCTGTAACATAATACTGTCACACTCAAATACAGCATAGGACATTTTAGGTGAAATGTTCAAATTAAAACTATAAATTATTATGCCCATATTATTACCCAACCAACTATACTCAAGCAGGCCTTACTTTGCCGGACCCTGTATGTATGTTTAGCCTCACCTGAGGATATGCTTGTTGATTTTTACAGAGACGGCAAGGGAGGAAGAGAAAGGGGGAGGAAAACGTCAATCAGTTGCCTTTTCTAGGACAGTGGACCAAATCTGCAACCTAGGTATGTGCCCTCTCTGGGAATTGAATCTGCAGATTTTTTTTTTTTATGGGACAGTTCTCCAACCAACTGAGCCACACTGGCTAGGGCTTGTATTTGCTTTTTAAATCTTCTCAGTAATCCTCACAGGCGGGTCATGTATTATCTCCATTTTATACATGAGGAAATCGGGGCACAGAGAGATTAGGAAATTTACCTTAGGTCACATAGCTAGGACACACACTGCACTGTCTTGGCATTTCTATATCTGAGTTAGTTCAAATTTGTATTGTTTTCCACCTAACTACATTATTGAAACACCCCTCAATGTGTTATTTATCTCCTTTCCTGGGATTTGGACTCATTGTACTTTTTCGGGATATGGTGTAACAGGTTATCTTCAGAGTAAAAATTGACTAGGCCTAGTGGGGTTATAGGTAAGTTACTTGAATTACTGAGGTATTCTTAAGGAACTAAGGCATTCCTTATTATGTGTTATTAATGATAATATTTTTTAAATTCAGTTATGAAAACATTACAGATTCATGAAGGTACTTTATTTTACAAGATGTCATTGAAATGGAAAATTTCATGTTTAAATACTGGCTGGTGGAGTAGGTTGTTTTCAATTATAGCTGATAAGGAATTTTAAAAAGGTATGACAGGAATAGGTAAACATCTTTTCTGTTTAGCCAGGAGTAATACTGGATTCTAAACTTGTAATTTGCAGGAAGAAGGTTTGAGCTAATAGAGACACAATGTTTTTGTAAGAGTGAGGAAATATTTGTTGGCTAAAAAATATACTATATAATATGTTTTAATGCCTTTATATTAAACTCAAGATTTTTTTATCCTTTTTTAAATATTTTTTTATTGTTCTATTACAGTTGTCCCTATTCCACACCCCCCCGCCCCCCACCCTGTTGCTCTCCCCTGGCCCATCCAACCCCTGCTCCCAAAGAAATCCCCACCCCATTTTCCTTGTCCATGGGTCCTTTGTGTATGTTCCCCTTCTTTCCCCTGTTATCCCCCTCCCTCCACCCTTCTGGTCACTATCAGTTTGTTCTTTATTTCCATGTCTCTGGTACTTTTTTGCTCGCTTGTTTGTTTTGTTGATTAGGTTCCACTTATAGGTGAGATCATATGGTATTTGTCTTTCATCCCCTGGCTTATTTCACTGAGCATAATGCTCTCCAGTACCACCCATGCTGTCGTGAAGGATAGTAGCTCTTTCTTTCTGCTGCGTAGTATTCCATTGTGTAAACGTATCACAGTTTTTTGATCCACTCATTTCCTGATGGGCACTTAGGCTGTTTCCAGCACTTGGCTATTATGAATAATGCTGCTATGGACATAGGGATGCATGGGTTCTTTTGAATTAGTGTTTCAGGATTCTTAGGGTATAATCTGAGCAGTGAAATCACTGGATCAAAAGGCAGTTCCATTTTTAGTGCTTTGAGGAAATTCCAAACTGTTTTCCACAGTGGCTGCACCAGTCTGCATTCCCACCAACAGTGCACTAGGGTTCCCTTTTCTCCACAGCCTCGCCAGCACCTGTTGATTGTTCATTTGTTAATGATGGCCATTCTGACAGGTGTGAAGTGGTATGTCACTGTGGTTTGAATTTGCATCTTTCTGATGGCTAGTGATGCTGAGCATCCTTTCATATGCCTGTGGGCCCTCTGTATGTCCTTGTTAGAGAAGTATCTGTTCACGTTCTTTGCCCATTTTTTAATTGGATTGTTTGTCTTCCTGGTGTGGAGTTGTCTGTAAACTCAATATTTTTCTCCTGCTTCTTTTTTTTTAGTTCGCCAATGGACATGGACGAAAATGAAAGCAACGAGTCCCTGATGGCAGCAAGCAGCCAATATCCTAAAGAGGCAGTAAGAAAACGCCAAAATTCAGTGCGGAATTCTGGAGGAAGTGATTCTTCTCGGCTTTCCAAGAAAAGTTTCAAACTGGATTACAGGCTAGAGGAAGATGTAACTAAATCAAAGAAAGGAAAGGACAGGAGATTTGTTAACCCCTGGCCAACATGGAAAAATCCCTCTATCTTAAATGTTCTCAGGTGGCTGATAATGGAAAAAGATCACAGCAGCATTCCATGTTCCAAAGAGGTAGAGTTTGGCTTTTTTGAGTGCTTGTGTATTTACTCTTTTCACACACACACACACACACACACACACACACACACACACCCACACCCCCGCCCCCCATGCTGTGAATTGCTTTATGACACTGAAGTCAGGTGAACCCCTTTTATATGATAAGACAGAAGGCTGGGTTCTGGGGAGACAAAGTGAATAAGATGCCTTCGAATTCATGGTTTAGCAGCAGAGTGCATATATGAATAACCAACTCTGATCTGGTGGCAACTAGAGGTAGGAAGTCCTTTAGAAGTACAAGAAAGGAAGCAATTAATTGTCACAGGTGGAGTTGGAAATGACTTCATGAAGGAGGTGTTATTTGACATGGACCTAGAGAGAGAAAAAGTACTTTTGGCAATGGTTTTGTAGGTGGCATGAACAAGGTTACAAAGGTAAGAAAGTACGTGACATGGTCCAGAAAGTAGTAACCTGATGTGTGTTTGGAATATAAATTATGATGATTAAGGCATGGCCCAAGAGTTCTTGGCTTTTCATCCTTGGATGAAGCTGCTAAAGCTATAAAAGAAATCTTCAGATAACCTTTTCAGGCCTCTTAAAATTGACATTAGGTTATTGGTCATTAAATATGTTGGTTTTACTTAGACGAAAACTTAACTAACATTTGGCCTAAGGTTTATTAGCTGAATGAGATTATACTTCAGTGGCAGGGGTGGGGTGGGGTGGGTGGCTCCCAATTGCAGTAGTACCGATTTCTCTTTTCTGAGGTTCTTTTCCCTCTTCTATGTCCTATCTCACCTGGCCACTCTTTTCCACCAACCCCATGCCCTGCCAGGCTTTATGGGGAGTTGAGATACAAAAGAATTTGAGGTTGGGAGTGGGAGATGGGTTGAAAAAATAGGGGCCTCTGTGGAGGTATGAACTGCAGTGGCAAGAGGCAGGAGGAGCAGTGGCTGCGTGGTAGTGTTAGATATTTTATCTTGGCATGTGCATCCACTTCTCTTTAAATGATATGGGATAAAAAACCTGAACATTTATCACTTTGAAACTAATTGATATTAGTAGGCAGAACTGATTAACGTGAATATCTTACCAGCATTCTTTTAGAATGAGGTAGGACATTTTTAGATAAAACTTTGTGTTTATGTTTCAACTTTGAGGATGGGGAGAACAAGAAATTTTTTCTTCTTCTTCTGGAGAACCCCGTATGAAGAGGAATGTGGAGTTGAGCTGTGAAGAGAAGGGTTAGGGCAGGAGGCCAAGATGGGTAGGCTACTTGCTGGGGTAAATTGTTCCTGGTTTTGGAGCCACAGTTTGTAAAAATACAGATAGCAGTGGTGTCTTTAGTTTGACTTTATTTCAAAGAGGAAGTGAGTGACCACATGGAGACAGAGATACATCTCTGCAGTCTGATAATTTGGGAGGTATTCTAGAAACTGTATGGAATCTCTGAGAACTTGCCAGGCCAGTGGTCTTACGTTCTGTTGGATACTGGCCCCTTTTGAAATCTAATGAAAGCTGTGAACCCTCTTCTTAGAGAAATATATACATGCACATAAACACACTGTTTTTACTATAATTTTAGGGAGTTTTTGGACCCTCTCAAGCCAGTCCATTAACTCATTTATTCATTCATTCATTTAGTCAGTTTATTGGGCAGGAGCCCAATAAATAATTAAATTTCTAGGTGCTAGAGATAGAGCCATGAACAAAGCAGAAAGACACCTTTGGCTGCCTTGGACCTTAGGTTTAGTGGACGAGAGAGACAGTAAACAGTGAGTAAACTCTGTGGTATACTAAAAGATGGTAAGTACTCTGAAGAAAATAGAGAAGGAAGTTAGGGTGATACAGGTGGGAGCTACATTCTTTAATGAAGTGTAAGCTTTTTTTTTTTAATGAAGGCAGAAGACTTTCTATTTTTAAAAAAAGGTCAAAGGAGGTCTCAATATGTACTGCTTAAATATGCATCACATAAAAGGAGAAAGAAGACATATCTGCCCTATTCTATTTTGTTTCTTATCTCTTATCTATGTCTTGTTTTCAATAAAAGCCGAGAACTAGATCAAATGCATGTATACTTATTATTTTTATAGATAACTATAACTCATTCCATATTTAATATCTTAGTTGCCAAGATTATTAAATTTTACAACTCCTAAATATGATAGTCATACTTTTTCTGAAAAACAAAACAACAAAAACCCCATAAAACCCAAAACATATTAAGAATCATATAAAGAACACCTTCTTCAGATCATTGGGTCAATTTAGAATTTAATCAAATTTCTGATAATTGCTTTTTTTAAAAAAAAAATTATTGTTTTTTTAGAGTGAGGGAAAGGGAGGGCGAAACAGCGATGTGAGAAAGAAACATGATTGGTTGCCTCTGGTACAAGCACCATCCTGAGAGCGAACCCACAACCCAGGCATGTGCCCTGACTGGAAATCACACTGGAGGTGACCTTTCACTTTGTGGGAAGATGCGCAGCCAACTGAGCTACCCTGATCAGGGCCTGGGAATTTTTTTGTTACACATTCGGAGGCTAGAGTTTGATAAAACACAATTTAAAATTGTTGTTTTGACAGAAACAGACTCATAGATGCAGAGAACAAACTAATGGTTGCTTGATGGGAGGGGGTTGGGGGCCTAGTGAAAAAGATGAAGGGATTAAAAAGTACAAATTGGTAGATACAAAGTAGTCACAGCAACATAAAGTATACCATAGGGAAGAGAGTCAATAGTATTGTTTTTTTCTTTTTTAAATTTTTATTATTTTTTTGTTTATTATGGTTGTCACAATTTTTCCCCTTCTTTTTTTTTCTTTTTTAATTTCTTGTTTCTTTTTTTATTGATAGCAATATTATAATAACTATATATGGAGACACATGGGTGCTTGAATTATCAGGGGATTTTATAATATATGCAGGATTATAATTACTATACATTATGTAATTCATATTATATTTATTTAGGTATATATATGAAAGTGTTTTGGAGGAAGCATGACTAAAGTGTAAAATAACTAATAGAACAGATCTAAATAAAATGAAAGAGAGTTATTTAGCAGAGCTACACAAGTTAGTTGCATTCTCCAATAATAGTGGTTTATTTTAACTTTAAAGATCAGATTTATTTGAGAAAAACAAAAACACCTCACACCTCAAAAAATGGGATTCACGTATCAAGACATCTCTCAGATACTAAGTTTACAGATTACAAATCATTTTTGTAGAGAATATTTTTTGTACAAATTTTACCTGTATTGAGGAGTGGGACATAAATTTCTGTTTCTGTTTTAATGATGTTTCTTTACTTGGACAGTTCCTGATACCTGCCTTTTCTGGGTCTTAAGAGCAGTGTGCCAGATTCCAGGTTTTGCATTGTTCAGACGCTGTCATTGCTTTGTGCTGTCACAGTTGGCTCAGTGACTTGTCACATTGTTTTTGATCATCATAGTCACCAGTAGTTAGGGGGAAAGAGACAGAGAATCTCAAAGATGGAGGGAGACAGGCACCTCCTGAGTCTAACTAGGTGAAGGAGGCTGTTCTTGTCAGTTAGCACTGCAGAAGTGAGCAGGGGGCTGTGAAGTCAGAGTGTGGGAGACACAGAGCCAAGGCTGCACAGCTCGACCTAGTAGAAAAAGTGGGACACCAGAAGTGCGGAAGCCAGGCTCAGGTTCCGGGTTCCTCCCCTAGTGTGTGACCTTATTTCTGTCACAATCCCTCAAGGAACTCTCTTTTTTTTGTCTATAAAGTTAGGATAAGACAGTTTAAGTCACTATAATTGTTTTTTGGTTCACCTGACACATGAAAGTACTTTGAAAATATAATGTACTCTTTGGCTGTGTGATATTGAAGAACAGGGTGCCCTTTGGAAAAATGAAGCACACCAATTATTTTGTATTTATACTATAGTATGCTAACAGGTTGCTTTTTTAGTTTTATGAAGAGAAAAAAATGCATGTGTACAGTTTTTTAAAAGTCTTAGTCCTGAAAAGCTTATTAGATAAATCCTAGTTACCTAACCAGCCCCTGCTACTCAGTCCCAGTCCTCAGAGGCAACAGCTTTCAACCCTTTCAGTCATCATTCCTATGGAATTTACCTTTATATTTCTTTTAATTTTATTGCAATAAGAACACAACATGAGATCTCTCTTCTTGAATTTTTAAGTGTACATTATACTTAACTGTAGGTAAAATGCTGTACAATAGTTCTCCAGAGCTTCATCTTCACTGAAACTTTGTGCCCTCTGATATTAGCTCCCCATTTCCCTCTCCCCGCAGCCTCTGGCAATCACTGTTCCACTTTTTGATTCTATTAGATGCCTCAAATATGTGGAATTGTGCAGTATTTGTCTTTCTGTGCTCATTCATATTTTCTATCAGATTTAATGCACTTTTAACTCCCTCCCCATCTCTCTCCCACTTGAACTTTCTTTTTACTGTTTATATTGTTGTAAATATATCAATATTTTTCAGTGATGAACTAATTGAATAATATACTTTGGCCATGTCTTCTTTTTTATATACTTTTTCTCTCTGGGTTTAATGATACCTCTTTTTTTTCATCTGCATAACTTCCTGAATGACCACTTCCCTCCTTCCCGTGACTTCTCAATACAATTTTCTTGAGGGATTCTCGGGGTCTTTTGGTACAGGGCCGTAACCTGGGCTGGCAGCCCTCCAGGCTCCCTGCCAGCTTCTGTTTCAGGGTCTCCCTTTACCATCATCCTGGCTCCTTTGCCTCTTCAGTGTTGCCATTTCCTGCATCCCACTTGTTTCTCTTTCTTGCATATTTTCTCATTTTGGTAAAGCACATTCTTAATGAGAGCTTCCTGAGAAAAGTGTTCTTTTCTCAGGGGAAGTCAGTTTTTGATACCTTGCTTGTCTGAAATGTTTTTATTTTCGTAATCGATAGTGTGAATATAGAATTTTAGTTTGGAAACAGTTTTCTCTCAGAATTTGAAAGTATTACTTCTGTGACCTTATTTTTAGCATTGCTGTGGAGAAAG